GGCATCCAACAGCAATTATAGAAAGTTCAGATAAGACACTTTACCAGATAATAGAGCTTTTATTTACGATCTGTATGTGCCAAAAATTTAAAAATTATCATTTTTGAGCTATGTCGTTCTTGAAAAAAATGAGCGTAATGTATTTTGAATACATAATAGTCTAAATAAAAATAAAAGAAAAATAATATAAACTCCTAGAATAATCTAACAAATTTGGGGAGTAAATTTGGAAGCAATCTTTGTACTAACAAATCAATTTATTATCCAAATGACAAAAAAAATTATACAAATTAAATTCCTATTTTTACTATTACAAAAATTCTATAAATATTGATATAAATCACTTATTTCAAATACTTATCAAGTAAAATAAAAAATCGACGTACGAGGCTTTCTATTACAAACAGTAGCTTATCAAATTTGCCAATATCCATCTGTTGACACCAAAAAGTACAGGAGTCTGATTAAGGGTTTTTAGCGACTGTATCTCAGAATATATTGAAAAAAGAAAATGCAAAACTGGTCCATTTTTATTTCAAGGGGAACATCTTTCTATTATATCCTCAACTGTCATATCGACGATTTTCGATAAAAATGACATAATTCATAATTCTAAGTTTTTGGGTTAAAAGCGAAAAACAATTACAAAATATATTTTTATCTGAAAAAACGTTATAAGTGAATTTTAAAACAATGCCAAGAGATGGCTCGTGTCGTTTTCTTTTGGTGCGCATCTAGAAAACCGTAGCAACTCGGTAGTGCTATAAACGCTTATTTCTCGAAAAACGGCACATCTCGAAAAATGTTGGAATCACGCTCGATTAATTTATCAAGTATCACATTTTTAGTTGTGACGTTTTTAACGATAATATAACTGTGCCAAATGGATTATTTTAATCATTATGGTGATTTTGAGTTAACGACTTACGTGTTCACTTTTAACATAAAGTAGTACGTCTACCAGTACCACACAACACGTAAAATTTCTCTATATTGCACTTGCAACAAAATAGTCATTTTAATTTCATTTCTAATTTAGTTAACATATTATTGTGTAGTTCATTGAATTACTAATAAAATAAAGTATCGCAATGAATTGCTGAATTCCCTATAAATTACATTTTATATAATGTGTCATACTAAGGAGTAGGCGAAATAATCGATTATTCGATTTTTTTAGAAAAATCGATAATCGATTAATCGGTTTATTTTTTAATTAATCGAATGATCGTTTTTAAAGTAAATACAAAAAAATAATAAGCTTCTGTCAATCTAATAAAAACATATGCTGTGAACAACAACTTTCTTTAAAAATTATGAAAAAAATATGTTTTTAATTTATAAATTAAACAATAACATTAGCTTACTTTTAAAATAACAAAATTATAGTCTAAAAATATATTTCTTAATTTGTGTTTGTATTAAAAAAATATGTAATTGATTTTCTGAAAAATTCATTTTTTGAAAATAATAAATTAATCGAAAATAATCCATCTCTTTATTAATCGAAAACAAACGATTAAGAGAAAATAATCGAATAATTGATAATCCATAAATCCATTAATTGAATAATGGATTTTTTTTTAATTAATCGATTAATCAAAAATAATTATTTTGATAATCGCCCGGCCCTAGTCATACTTGGTACTTTCCCCATTTAAATTGAGGGGAGACGATATGATAAAAAGATGTCCCCCATGAAATTAAAATTAACCTCTTTTTGCGTTTCTTTTTTTTTATTCTTTCAAAATATTCTGAGTCGCTAGCAGCTCTTAATCAGACACCCTGTACAAATAAATTTTAGTTACAATTTTAGTACAGGGTGGCTCAAGAAAATGTCAGTTTTGAAACAAGCCAAGATGCAAAATTGTCAGCCAATATGAAGAAATTGACAGGAAGGTAATGTATTTTTGAAGAAACTTCAAATCGAATTATTTATAATTAAAGCGTAGGCACTATATGGATAAATGATATCACTCTATGCTATAAATTCATTAAGGGAAAACTTATTACATTTCAACAAATCCATTTATTTGCCCCTTTTCCTTATCACAGTGCTAGTTTTCTTTGAAAGTTCACATTGCTCTTCCCAACTACAATCAATCATTCTAATTATTAAGCTTGAATCGGGCTGTTTAAATACCGACAATCTCCAAATCACCAATATTTAGAAATATAAGTTACACAATGTGATGTTATTGAACTAATTTAGGTATCAATACTTGTCTGAAGGAATAAGTTTTGAAATAAAATTGAAGAGACAGGGAAAAATCAGATATGTCAACTCTTAAAAATTGAAAACAAAGTTACTCCATTACACCAAAGTATTGTAAAGTATGCACAAAAGTCAAAAGAAAGTGTGGAGAAAGACAACGTGTGCAGAACATTATATTGCAAAGGAAAGTAAAAATAAAGTGCGTCGAACGACAAAACTTCCTATTTTCCCACAACAAAATACTATAAACAACAGTAAAAAGTGTGGAGAAAGGTAACAATATTATAAAGAAAAGTACGCAGCAATCTAGAAAATGTGGAAAAAAACAAAGCTGTATTTTTTCGCCTCATCAAAATATTATAATAAAGGAAAGTAAAAAGAAAGTGTGGAGAACAGTAACAGTATTGTAAAAGAAAGTGTGGAGAACAGTAACAGTATTGTAAAAAAAGTATGCAGAGCAATCTAAAAAGTGTCGAGAAAGACAAAACTTTTTTCTGTCTCCCATTTACAAAGTAAAAAGAAAGTATGGGGAACGATAATATTATAAATAAAAGTATGCAGCAAATAAAGTGTGGAGAACAACAGCGCTTTGTATTTTTCATCAATATCTCTAATATGGACCATTTTAGGGACATCATGTATATAACAAAAATATGACATTGTGAAAAACTTTAATCCGACGAACTTTATTCTCTAATCATAAATAACAATAATATATCACAAAACAAAAAAGAAAAGATCAAATTTGAATTTTGGAATGATTGCAATAACCTCCCCATTTTAATCAATTGGTGGGGAGGTTAAAAAAATCTGAACTAACTTGACTAACGAGTCAAGATTTTTGAAACTTTTGAGATCTTTTGAAATTGGTGGTAGATTTTACAAAAACTTAAATTGAGGGGTTAGAAAATTAAAATTTAAATGACTAGGTAGGATTTCTCACTCAACCATTTCACTGTTGAGTTTTAATTACCAGTGTTGTACTTGAAGTGGCGGTGTATAAATCCCACGCAGAATAATAGGCTAATGATCTAAGTAACATCAGTTTTTCCCTGTACCTATCAATTAAAATAATTTTATTCAAGGTATACAAAACTAGTTTAATGAATTACTAATTATTGTGATAAAATGTAAAACATATTATAATATATAGATTTGTGAGTGGAATGGTTATATTGAAAAACTCGTAATAAAACTACACAAAATAGACAGAAAACTTATAATAAGGATGTCTTTTGATTGAGATTTTCCTATAAATAGACCGGTTCATAAACTCATTAAGTGTTTCATTTGTAATTTTATAAATATATCAGTTCGAATATAAAAATTAAAAAATAGTTACTTATGGCTCGTCTTTTTATATCAATCTAGTGATGTAGTTTTGTTTTTGTTTGTTTGTTTTTACTTGATAGAAACCAAGTAATTACGAAATTTTTATAATACAGGGTGATTGCAAGTATATTTAAACCCAGGTTTTCACCAAAAACTTTTAAAAATAATTAAGATTTTTGGCATACAGGGTGACCCGTTAAAAACAAATTTGTTCCTGATAAAAGTTATTGAAAATAAATTTAAAATATAAAGTTTCATGTTGCATGCCCTTCTGTAAATTCTGAAAATGTTTTTTATATCTTTAATAGTGCCAGATATATTTCAGTTTATTTTAATGACTTCCGTACACAGTTAAAAAAAGTACACTTAGAATTCATCCTGTATGAGTGACAAATGCAAAAAAAAACTTAACTATTAATGGAATTTAAAATGGATTCAAATATACTTGGCCTATTATGTATCTACAGGGTGGGTCACTAGTAACGCTTCAATTTATAGAGCCAAAAAAATTGCAACAACTTAAAAGTAATTTTAATTTTTTTCTAGGAAAGTGATACATACCAAAATTAGTTTTTTTATTTTATATTTCAATTTTCCTCGCTTTTCCCATTATAACAATACCAAATAATATATGATTACGGGGTGGGTGAATCAGTGGTAGAGTCTCTGTCTGCGGATTCAAGGTCCCGGGTTCGAATCCCACCGTTGGCCGGGATTTTTTTAATTTAATTATTTAAAATTAATTATGATGCCTTGGTAAGATTCCCCATTCGACCGTTCACTGTTGGGTACTAAAGTGGAGCTGAGAAACAGTAACAAAGCCTACACAGAACACTATGCGAAATAACCATAGTAGTTGAAGCACTTGAAGCTGATGACACACAAGAAAAAAAATGTGATTACACAGGGTATTTCGCACGCTATAACTAGTTTTATATAAAAAAATCGTTTTGTGCGAGCAAAATAATCGATTATTTTCGATAAATCAATTATTTTCAAGTAATCGATTATTTTCGACTAATCGATTTTTTCATATAATTAAAATTAAAAATTAAATTGTTGCCTTTTCTGATACACATCTGTGTAAACGGATTTAAAAGAAATTAAATAGTTTTGGCTCTACAGACCAAGACGTTATCGATGGCTCACGCTGTATAAAAATCAGTAACACCCATTGGTAAACATCGCGTTTCAAAGTTTTCTGAAAATAAAAATAAAGATGATCAAAAATTGGGATATGTGCGAAATTGTTGATACTTTGATTGACTTGGCAAAATAAGTGACAAATTTTTTTAACACATTTGATAATTTTCAACGTTTATTTTTCAAATAAGTCAAAAATTTGGTATTTTAGTTTTTTATACTTACTAGGCTACTCATCTTAAAAACATTAGCCCCACGTTAGTTAACAATTTGTTTTTGATGAGTTGCACACGTGGTAAAAATGTTCGCCCTTATTTCTGATAATTCTAGCCATTAACAGTATATTATGGACACAGTTTATAGCTAAAGAATCAGTTAGGTAACTCGGACCAATTGGATGTTCCAAAATAACATCCACTCCAGGGATACAAATTCAGATGAGCAGAAGACTGCTGTTTGAATATAGGCGGTTGTCATATAGTAAGAGAGCACACTGCAAATTTCGACCGTCATCTGATAACGAAATGAAATATGCTCCAAAGGCATGTAACAACATTGTACTTTACCAAATTGCACCTGCGCCAATCCCTATCCCGAGCAAAGTGGTTAAATTTTTTTATTTAATATTCAAAAAAACACATAAGACATGTCAACGACAATTGTGTTTTCCCTGAAAATTACAATCCTAATTCATTGTGAACCTATCTTTTAGACCTGAATTATTAATATTGCAGAGATAGTCAATAATAATCATAAACTCTTGTTAGACAATTCTTTTAAACGATAATCATAGTAGTTTTTGTCGTTTCTATGGCAACCTGTAAAAATGAATCACAACAATAGGCATACAAATAAATTTTTAAATCAGCAATAATTTATTCATATTTTTAATGATTTCTACCTACTAATCGTGGACAGATGTTTTGTGTGCGATGTTAAGAGGAAGAAAATGTTTCCTTTTAACGATATATATCAAGATATATTTGAATGTTATTTTCTGGAAAAATCTAAGGGCAAACAAAATTAGCACTGTCATGCCTTTTTTAATACAAATTTTTTAATCACTTTGTTCAGGATTGGGATTGACACAGGTGCAATGGTAAAGTACAATGTTTTTACATGCTTTTTGGGGTATATTTCATTTCGTTATCAGATGACGGTAAAATTTGCAGTGGGCTCTTAGGTTATTATGATTTGATTCTGTATGCGCCAGGGATACAAATCCGAGTTGCGCAATGTATAAATTGGAACATTGAGATCAAAAGTGCTGACGCAGAGTGAGCGAACTGATTCTTTAGCTATAAACTGTGTTATGGACGAATAATTAAACATTATTAGCACCCCATATTCTTCGAAAGCAAAAAATAAACTGCGAATAGATGTATTGAAAGTTGCCTATTTAATGGAGGGAATTTTATACCTTTCTTAAAAGTAAACAAATAATATTTGTTTAGAAAGTCATCATAATCATATAAAACATCAAAATATCAAATTTAATTTGTTTTGGTTTAAGATTTACAATTTACAAATTTTGGTACTTCGAGCCGGACCTTATCAATTAACATAAAAAATTATTACTACATTTTGTTTTTCATCAATATGCTTATGCTGAAGTTATCTAATAAACAGTCGAAAGAAAAAAGCTGCGAAAAGTTTTCGGTATTTTTGTGCTGGTAAATATGTGTAGGTGGAGTATTAGGCACTTGTGAAAATTGAATTAAAAAATGTGTGTGAAAACATTGAAAGGCACTTTGACAGTCTTCTAAATCGGACTCCTCAAATACCACAGACTGACGGGTTGTCATTAAACAATTTTGATCTGAAAGAAATAAATAATATAGCTCAATGTTAGCCATAAGGAAAAATGAGGCTTTCCATCGAATGTCATAAATTTTGTATATTGTAGTAGACGAAGAAAAGTCTTTGAAATATCTCAACATTCTTAAAAAAAAATACGCGAATTATTGTGGTATACCGCTAAAAGCGTCTGGGTTTAAGTAAATCGAGCATAGAATCACTTTGATGTTATCTCTGTTTAGCGAACATTAGCTATCATTTGGCATTGTGTTATTTTTTATGATATATTAGTGACTTCTGTTCTTTCTGTATACTTATTTCAATTTTGAAAAAAAAATGAATTGCGTCGGCATTCTCTAAAACCATCTATTTAGTTTAAAGGTCAAGTACTACAAATATATCAATAATTTATGACATACGAATAAGAAAAAACGCGAGATTCATTTAACATTTAGTTACCTCATTCTACGGCAAATCCACAAGTTTCTTCAACGGCTTGCGTCAGTTTGTCTAACAATATTTGGTAAGTTTCGTAGGGCGGTATGTCAATTCTATTAAAGCAAGTATGTGCTTTAGGCAAATTTTGAGGCGGTACGTCGACGCAATGTATCGTGAACAATCTGGGACCTGCGGCCCCGGTGCTGCCTTGCAAAGCTTTGAATCCTTGTAGCGGTACGCGCGAACTACCGGTGACGAATTGCAATAATCGCGCTCGCATTTCCTCGGAGTAGGAATCGACGACCTGCCAGAACCATTGGACGACAGGCGTTTCGGGCGTACAATGTTTTAGTCTTGTATGCGAACGCCAGTCGGCTACAAAATATAAAAAAGCGTAGAGATATTAAAAACAAGTAATTATGATAATTTTAACAATACAAATTTGAAAATATGTTTATGAATCCAAGGAATTGAATTATATTGAAGTATATTGAATGTATATTGAAATTAGATTTAAAGTTTATTGAAAGTAAATTGAAAGTATGTTGAAAGAATTTTGTACAATGGTGTTTCAAAAATATTTTTACAAAATACAAAGTCAGATGGGAGTCATATTATAAAATGAATTAGATATTACTTAAATTATTTAACATGAAAAATAACGATATTGTGATAAATTATTAATTAATGTTTTTTCTTTTCTCTTTGAAACATATTGATTAAGAGCGTTTAAAATAAAAATTATTTACCTATATCTATGGATCCAATTCCGCTAATAACAAGTTCCAATTCCCTTTCGTCGAAGGGTCGCAAAGAAGTTGAAGGAATTAGTTCGGAAAAACCTTTTTGTAAAGCTAAAAATTGCTGTTCGATGCCCCGCATGAACCTATAATTGACGTACAACTTGACATATTCTCGTTTGTTTTCTTCCGTTACGGCGACGGACGCTCCATCGGCTTTCAGTTCGTGCACTTTAATAATACCAAAACTATTATTTTCCACTGAAAAGGTAGTGTCTAATACACCGTTGATGTTATTTTCTCTAAAAAGAAAAAATAATTTAATAGTACAATAATAGTTATTTATTATACAAGTGAAAGAAGAAATCTAATATTTTTCGCATGTATAATACACTATTATTTAAAATATCTACCTTTACTTATATGTATATAAACTCCTGGACAAAATTAACGCACCACTTATATTTTGCTCAATAATCTTTATTTATTGATAACTTACTGTACGACAAGTAGGCCATGGACCTTGTTTGACAGTGACAGTTGTTTTTTAAGCTAGCTAGTGTCACGTAATACCTTGTTTTGACAGTAATTCGTATTAAACCTCGTTTTAGACTAAAACTGTGTTAACATTTTCTTAAAAAGTGCTGATTAAAGCAAAGTTTCAGTTAGAAACAAGCTGTTGATTGTAATTGTTTTTATTACATGCATGTTTGGAAGTTCATTTGGGAGAATATCAAGTAAAAAAAATGAACCGTCAAAGAAATCTGTCACTGGAGGAAGCAGTGCGAGCATCGACTCTCCTGAATGAAAGATATTCAATGCGATATGTTGCTGGTTTGTTAGGGAGACATCATTCCAGCATCAGTCGCATAGTGAGGCGACATAATGAAACGGGTTCGTACCATCAAAGACCAGGACAAGGGCGAAAACGTTGCACTAATCAAATTGATGATCGTTTTTTGAGACAACGTGCTCTTAGAGACAGGAGAGTAACCAGCAATCTGCTTAAAAATGAATTAGCAGATGTTCGAAATATCGCTATATCATCTCGAACGGTTAGAAGGCGTTTAGATGAAGCAGGGTTAAGCAACAAAAGACCAGCCAAAAAACCCTTGCTTACCAGAGAACACAAAGTTCAGAGATTAAATTTTGCAAGACTACATCAGAATTGGACCATCAATGATTGGAAATGGGTTCTGTTCTCCGATGAAACTAGAGTTAGCCTTAAAGCTCCAGATGGACGTGAGCGTGTCTGGCGAAGACAAGGAGAAAGGTTTGCCAGCTGTAATATCTCTCCTAAAGTGCCTTTTGGTGGTGGCTCTAAAATGTTTTGGGGAGGAATTTGCTTCGATGCTCGTTCGGAGTTGGTCCCTATACGTACGAGGTCTATGAATGCCCAATATTACTTAGACAACATTATTGTCGAACATGTAATGCCTTTTGCTCAGTTTGTTGGGACCAATTTTTTATTCATGCAGGACAACGCTCGTCCCCACGTGGCTAGACAGGTTATTGGTTACTTACATGATGTTAATATTCCTTTATTAGAGTGGCTATCTAACAGTCCGGATATGAATCCTATAGAATATCTATGGGACTATCTCAAAAAGAGGATTCGAAGTCATAGACCCCCTGTTTCTAATCACAACCAACTCATAGAGATCGCTATTGAAGAATGAAAGAATAATACTGAAGCTTTTGTTGAACATTTGATATCAAGCATGCCGCGACGCATGAATGCAGTGATAAGAAGTAGAGGAGGGCCTACGCGGTATTAGGTTTGACCCAGATGCATTTATTCTCTTTTACAGATTTTTTTTTTTTCAATTTGGAGTTATGCTAGCTTATTTATGCATTTCCAGCAAAAACAAATTTTTATGGAAAAAATAAGGCAAATTAAGATCATGTAAAGGTCATATTCAACTAATTTTTAGGAGTTCATCATTATTTAGTTTTATGTTGTGTTTATATTGTAAATATTTGGATTAATTAAAGTGGTGCGTTAATTTTGTCCAGGAGTTTATTTTAGAATATTTTTTCAATATTAAATCGTCATTTCTCCCGTCACAGAAAAAAATAGTGTATTATACACGCGTCGGAAGACAACAGAACCTCGAGCTAAAATCTAATACTTTTTTCCTTTTTTTTTTTTTTTTTCGAAATCATCAGTTTTGGCATAAAAAATATTTTAGGATCGAAAAGGCAAAAATGGGGTTTTAAGAAATTTGGCGCCTTCTACTTTCTGTATTTATCATTGTAACGTAGTGACTTACTGAGATAAATTGTAAAAAACATTGTTATCTACAAAGTTTATATGAACAAATTTATACTACGACTCATGATTTTCCCTGATAATTTAATATTTTACAAATCATATATTTAAAAAAATAATAATAACTTTGGCGCCATATACTTTCTGCATTTATCATCGTATCGCAACGACTCACTGTGATAAATTGTAGAAAATATTGTTAACTACAAGTTTTATATAAAAAAAATTGATATTTCGCCAATCAAACATTTTGAACAAAAAAAAAAGTAATAAATATTCGTCAACAACTTACAACATCCAGGTGAGACTGCGATGCAGTTCCGGATCAACACCTTCAATATCCTGAAGTGTAATTTGCTTATTCAACAGCTGTTTGTAAAACGGCAACGTGAAGCCGCCTTCCAATTGATGATTATGAAAAACGGCTATTCCTAATATCCTGCCGACGAAATGAAAATACGAAAGGTGTTCGGGATTAACAGACGAATCTGGATTAATTTGCAACGTATAGTGGTTGTCTCTGCTATACTGAAACAGGCCGTACTGAGGATTAAGCATCTCGCGAGAAAGGAGATGCAACCATTCTCTGGCCACGCCGCCGTAGTCTAGACCTTCTTCGCCGCGGAATTTCACCATTAGTCTTTTTCGCATATCTTTTGGACGCATTTTCATTATAAGTCTAAGATTGAACAATAAAATATTTAAATGAATTAAGAGCACTAAAATACAGTAATATTAAATAAATACCTATAACTCTCTTCAAAAATCTCGCTTCTCGATACTTCCAGCCTGCAGTGACCGCTTTGCGGTTGCAACGAATTCAATTCCGCTCTCAGAACTTTCAATTTGGCGACGAGGTCTCGTCGGTATTTCGGTAAATGCTCGGATTCGTTCAAGAGATTCGGTGGGAGGTCTTCGTTTCTTATCCGTTCGGTACGTACTCTCGGCGAGACGGGCTCCGGGTTAGATTGATGCGAACAGGCTAGTCCGTCTGCTTCCGTTACGCTACAATTAAAGTCAGTTTCTACAGAGTGTCATATAGCAATGATAAATGCATTTCAACGTTGCGGTATAGCAATAAAAAATCGATTTAAACGTTGAACAAAGGCGGTCTAGGAATACTAAATCGATTTAAACGTTTAAAAAACTGCTGTTATAACAATAATAAATCAATTTAAAAATTAAAAACTGCAGTACAGCTATAATAAATGAATTTAAACGTTGAAAAACAGCGATACAGCGATAATAAATCAATTTAAACGTTGAAAACAGCTATATAGCAATACAAAATCAATTTAAACGTTAAAATATATATTTAAATTGAAAACAGCTATATAACAATACAAAATCGATTTAAACCTTGAAAAACTGCGGTTTAACAATAATAAATGGATTTAAACGTTAAAAACGGCGGTATAGCAATAATAAATCGATTTAAATGGTTAAATTAATTTAAATATTGAAAAAGTGCGGTATAGCAATATTAAATCAATGTAAACACTGAAAAACTATTATCATTTACCTGGCAGTATTTGGAGGCGAGGTTACAGGTGGTGGCGACGGCACGTTACCAGTTGTAGCTGGTGGATTTGCATCATTATGCCCACTTCTCCTGAGTATGTTGTTTAAAATTTGAGAATTCAATCTTGGATCCGTGAACTGAGTTGTTCGTTTATTGTGGTCTACAAAATATATCTAAAAAAAAATAAATAATAATGATTAGTTACATAATGTTTTCTCACTATTCTTAAATACCATTTAAATACATATTATTAAATGTTCCGACAAAGAAAATAGGAATACATACATTATAATTAATTACCATTTTTAAACACAATATCCAATTACTAATTTAAAGTAGAAAAACATACCCTTCCTGAACTTGTCTGCCTCATTTCCCAGCCCGGAGGAAGTGGTCCTAAATTGTCAACTTCAAGGCTTAGTGGTGTCAAATCTTTGGGTATCCTAGGATCATGCCATGTAGATACACCAGTAGGTATGTGAAAAAAGTAAACTTGTCCTTGTTGCGTTGTCCTTAATTCTAAAAGTTTTTTTGTTTTGTAATAATTTCATTTTCAAGCAAAATTTTTTGTAAAACTAATTTATAATAAAACTGTATGCATAAATGCATTTCTCATATACACTGATGTTGTAGAGGTATTTGAAGATTTGAGAACATGCTTGAACGACGTCTGGCTCGAATTAGCACATCAAACTTCTGTCTAGGAACCTCGATAGTCATTATCGTGGACGGTCTAATGGAAGTGGTACTTATCTAGCATACAAGAATGTCTGGGTTCGATTCCCGGCTACGACAGGCTTTTTTTCACATCTCCCAAGTATTTGTTTTCACCTTTGGGGTTCGGGATGATCTTAATAATTCGTAAGGGTATTTTTAAGATTTGTTTCTTAATTTTCAAATTATTCTACAACTTATTTCAGATATTTCTGCCTTTTCGGATTTCGATTTGCGATCTATGATATATTAAATTTACAATTTTCACATATACATTTGTTTAGGACATTCAAAGATAATTGTATATTTAAAAAAAAAAATGCAACACAATAAAGTCAAAACATGCATACAGACATATCTGGATCAAGGTGAGTAATTTAAGAAGAATACATACTTCCCCTTAGTTTGTAAATAAAGGTATATCTATATTTTTCAAGTGATTTAAAAGAAATTTTGAAGACACGTTTTACATAAAATACTGTACTGTTGTATTTAAAATTTTGCTGTATTTCAGAGATAAAAACAAAAGTTTTTAAATTTATAATTTTTTACAAATCTAACTGTAAGAGTCGACAGATAATATAGCTACCTTAATATTCCTAAAATTTCTCTACTTTTTTGAAGTAATGCCTGATTTTTTTTTTTTTAGATATGGCACCGATTTGAGCTGCTCCCTAGCGGCAACGTTTGAAGGTAAGGAAAATACGCTGCTGGTCTTTACAACGGAGCCGTGCCAGTTTGATTATTTGCAAGGTTACAGTGGCGTAGTGAATTAGCTAATTATTTTTCTGTTTATTGTGTTTTTAGGCGCTGTTATAAATTTGTGTGTTTGTAAACCTAATTATTTATTATCACATTAAACTGTTTTTAATGTCATATAATTTTGTGTATGGTAACCTGTGATTTCTCGTGCCAATACACTATTATTATTGTTTGTTAAGTTAAGTTACGATTTTCTAAATATTCTCTTTAAGTAGGTATACAAAATACCTATCGGTATTTGAAAAATGAATTGTGTGTTTTTTTTTAGAAAAGCAATACAGGCTAATTGCATCTCAATTTGGAAGAATATGTAAATTTAAAGAATACACGACTAGTAGTGCTGTTGCAAAAAACATGATTTGTAGTACCTTCTTGTGTAAGAAAGTCGCAAGATGCGATCAAGAGAATGAAGCCATCACAATTCAAAGTTTTGAATACTTATCCTATTTTTGGACAAACGATACCATTCAAAAATAAAAAAACTACAATTTCTCCTACTCAATTTTTTTATAAAAGCCAACAGAATGATAGAAACGTGTCCGAAAAAACTATTTTAAGTTTTTAACTATTAAAATAAAAGTAAAAAATAATGATTCAAAACTGATAGGACATATTATTATGCCAGCCTCTATTTAAAAAACTAATAAATATTTAAAATAAAATGGAAAAATAAATTCTTGTCACAAAATAATTTATGAATCATTATTTTGTGTATTGTGACTTCGAGAATTTATTTTTATATTTTATTTTACGTCTGGTCACTTTGCAATCCATCAATATAGAATTTATTTAAATCTTTGTTAATTCCAAATTAATTAAAATCACCCAATTTCAAATAATTTATACATATAACAAATGTATAGCAAGTGATTATTCAATGAAAATTTAACCTAAATCTTTTATTATTACAAATTAATAATTGAAATCCCCAATCTTAAATAATGTTTATTACAAATGTATAAAACATCATCATATCAGTAATTTTTAATAGAGCGCAAAAGGTGCGGCTACAAACATTATTTTCTTCTAATAAATAAAATTCACTGGCCGAACATGTTCTTTTCGACAAACGTTTATGTCTCCCGTACCCAAGCGGCTATATCCGCTATACCTTATCTGTAATGCCGACGTGAGCATAGTACAATGCCAACATGAAGTATAAATTATTTCATTAAAAATTCTTGGTTTATTTTTCTCTAAACTTTGCAGGTCTTACGGCCGACTAAATGTTGGTCAGGGTACGTATTCCTCTTAAGAAAATATTGTTATTTATTATTTCAGTTTCTACATTTTTTAACTCACCATATCCAGGCGGTAAATCCATTATTACCCCCGTCAACCCATTACTCCCTGCCACTCCATTTACCGAATTTCTATTTCTCCCTTGTCGCCTCCTACTACTTCCATCTCTTCTTTCTTCATTGTTCACAGTCCTAGGCCTACGCTCTCTGGTTGTACTTCTCTGTGGAGGACTACCCACTACTGCAGCAGTAGCAGGAGTCTTATTCGTTACAGTTACAGGAGTATTACTTGCAGTTACAGGTACGTTACAACTGATATTGTTTGGAGCAGGTACAACAGCAGTTGATGTCGGATAAAAGATAGGAAAAGTATATGGTTGCTGTTGTTGTTCAGAATGTTGTGGTGTTGAAGCGGAAGGGACGTTAGGGGCGGGACGTAGCGGAGCTACTTGCTCTTTTTGCGTATTGACTACTGTAGATACAGATGTGCTCGAACAAGACGTTGCGGGTAATTGTGATGTTTCAGTTGTCGGTGAAGTTACATTGTTATTGACAGGATCCAAATTTCTGTAAAGAACGAATGTTTTGCTTCAAATGATGAATCTTCTCTGAAAAGTTTGGTAAACTTCTTGGAAATCGCGAATTACAAAATGTTATATTATTATGTTATAATAAAAAAGACAAATCAATAAATAATTTTTAAATAAAAAAGCATTTTGGACCTACGATTATATGAACAGTTTGTCTTAAAATTGAGCATGGAATAAGACCTAAAAGTTTAGCAACATACTTAATAAGTGTATTTAAAAAAAATTACTGCCATTACTAACCTGTTCACTTCTAAATTATTATTATCCACATTAAATGTCGTATTATTATTATTTATCCTAGATCTATTGGGTTTTGTCTTGATACTAGCAGGTGGTCTAATCCATTGTGTTGATTTAGTGATATGATTAACGTAATAAAGGCGGCCGTTCGGGGTTCTCCTTTCCTCCCAGCCGGAAGGCAATTCTGTCGGAGCCGTAGTACTGGAATTTTCTAAATCTGTGGGTCCTCTAAGATCGCCTAGAGGACCCACGATAGCTAAAGGAGTACCACCGCAAGGACCGTCCCTCGAAAGTAATGAAATAATTATTTGTCCTTTTACGGGTTCATCGTCTGCATTAGCTTTACCTAAATCTAAACATTGATCTGGAAAAAGACGATTTATTATACATAAAAGAAGTTGAGGGTTTTTTTTTAGTTTGAACCCATTTATAGTTGACAAGAAGGCATAAAGATCGTTCCGAGATACAGTAAAAGTAAACAGTAATTTTAATCTTGGTAAACTGACATTCCTATCGATTTTTTTTATGCTTTAAACGCCCATATCTACGTTGTTCTTGAATTTAGCTCAACAGACTCATAGATTCGGAATCTATTCAATGAGACCTACAAAATGATATACACGATATTGATAGGATAGAACTAATCGAGAAACGGCGGTTCAAAAAACGTTCCCGGTTCACTGAATACTGAAGCGATATCCATTCTGTACAAGCAGGCGAATTAGTACGCCCATGTATAACGTTTGTGAACAGTGAAATCACTGTGGCATTACTAGTAAGGGCAGAATTGAATTTTGGCTCCAATTTGGGTTAATTTTTACTACAGAATCCAATAACTTTGAAATTAAATATTTAGGCAACTGTATACTATTTATTCTTGATTTTATCGGCCTTTACTTAATAAAAATCCATATTGTTTAAATGAAAAAAACCAAACAGTTTTATTTAAAAAATATAATATTAGGATTATCTCACAGAAAACTAAGAACAGGTAAAGAGATTTAATAAAGGTGAATTATTAATATCTAATTGTTCATTTAATAGGTTATCTGCATTTTTAAAACTATTTATTTCAAGTGTCTCTAAAATAAAATAAAATTTAAATGGTTTAATTTAATGCCCTTATTTTCTACATGTAAAATCTCAAAATGTTCTATAAAAGAATGATCTTCAGCTAAAATATGATTTGAAAAAGTAGAAGTATTTTTTTTAATATATGTATTGTAATGTTCTGAATAGTGTTTGTTGAAAGTACAGCCTGTTTGGCCAATATACAATTTTGGACAACTAGCACAATTTAATTTACATACTCCCGATTAATTATTGGAATTAATTTTGCCCATATTGTTTTTAATATACTTCCCAAGCGTATTTATTGGTTTTGAAAGCTACATTAATATTTTGGTTTTTTAAGTATGATGATACCTTTTCACTAGGGGTTCCTATATATGTGACTTATGTGAGAGTCTTATAGCTACAATTTTGATCTTAAATTATGGGATAAACTTGTTCAACAGCATGTTTAAAAAGTTTTTTTTTTAAATTTTGATCACTAACTTTGAATAAAAACTATTGTGTACTGTAATTTGTTTACTGATATTTAATTATTTTGTGAAGTTTTCTTTGGTAAGTGGGATAATAACTAATCTATGGATCATACTGTTGTATGCTACTAACTTTTCTTTATATGGATGAGATGAAGTTATATATTGTAATATCTGTATGTGATGGCTTATGAAATATCCTAAAATAATAATCTTTATTAATTTTCATGTTATTTAAGTCTAAAAAATTTATTAAATTATCCTTCTCTATTTCCATAGTAAATTTAATATAGTTTATACACTGTGCAACTCGGATAATACAATATATGACAACCGCCTATAATAAAACAGCAGTCTTCTGCGTATCCTGAATTTGTATCCCTGGAGTGGATGTTATTTTGGAACTTTCAACTGGTCCGAGTGAGCTAACTGATTCTTTAGCAATAAACTGTGACTCCAAAAATAATATTCACTGACACTGACAGCAGCAAGCAAAATAACAGGTGCGTTTTAATCATCCGCTTCTGCTTCCGGAATTGTCGGTTTAGTCGTTTTAACCTGTCAGATTAAAACAAGAAAACTGACAATTCCGAAGCAGAAGCGGATGATTAAAACGCACCTATTAAAAATATTGCGCCAAGATGTAGGCAACACGTAATAAGGGTTCAAAATGGCGGAGTTTTCTATCTCCTTTTAAAAGGCACTCAGAAAGCTGCGCAGTGCGACCATTCTCCGTATAGTAAAAGAAAATCAAAGTATGTGGCGACCATTCAAAAAATGCCCAAACTTATCAACTATATCCTGAGGTTTGGAAAATGTTTCCTCTTCTAATGACATAGTGGCAGGAATACACGGAGTTTTATTTTTTACATCAACATAAATATCCAAAACTGATGTGAATCATTTTTAATATTATTAATGATAAAAGAATGAAACCATGGAAGAAACTCACATTTAAAATGTTTATATACTCGTATATATAGGAACAAAACGATCTAAAAATGAATACAAACTAATATAAAATTAGTCTACATATCCATTAATATTACTGTATCCTAACAAATAATTTTAATCAACATTTCCAATAACTGATATGTTTCTGGTTATACAGTTTTTACAAAAATTTGAGAAAACGTTCTATAGGCTGTATATAATTCGGTACCATACTTATTTTTTTTTTTTTTTTTTTTTTTTGGTGGAACAACTATTACACCTAATTTTTTTCGTTTTATAATTTGGAAGTTTTCACCATTTTTTGAGCAGAATAGTCAAAAATGACTAAACGATACGATGACAGGACTATATTGTTTATAATCGATTTATTTTACAAATCTATATTTTTGTTCTAATTTACCTATTATAAAATCATTAAAAAATAAAGAAATCATTAAAATGCCATTTTAACTATAATGTAAAATCAGTTGATGAACTGACTCGGTTAATATCATGTTTAAATTTGTTAATTTGTAATATGACAATTTTGAATTTTCTATATAAACATCGATTTTTCATTCTAATTACAATGTTGCCAGCGTTTACATTCAGAGCTGAGTCGATTAAAATATACAAATATTTTTAATTTCGGAAGAATTTAGGAAGGAGAATACTTTTCAAATATACCACCGGAAACCCCATAAATTAACATTTTTTTTATATTAATGGCTCATGAGGATTGTTTATAATATGTAAACGTATGATACAAAAAAATTATGTATATGTAATAGTAGTAATAAATTTAAATACTATAGGACTATGGCCATGTTACCTAAACATTTAATTAAGAAATATTGAGAAATTTAAAATGTTAAGGTATAAGTCGAAATTTATATACACAGTGTACAAAAGTAATTTAACTTACTAATATTTAGATTCCTGACAGGTTTAAGAAATTATTTAAGTTAATAAATATACTTGGTTGACTACAAAAGACAGCGAGCGAAGCGAGCACGCCCAGCCGACATTTCCAAATTCGTGCGAATTTCGAAACGTCGGCCTGGTGCGCCCTTTTACCATCTCTACAGCATAAGAGCACGCTATGCTCATCCTATTCGCCTCCTAACTACCACAGAAGAGAGCGAGCAAAGCAAGCTCGCCAGGCCGACATTTCCAAATCCACGCGAATTTCGAAAAGTCGGTCTGGTGCGCCCTTTTGCCATCTACAGCATAAGAACACGCTATGCTCGTCCTATTCACCACTTAACTACTACAGAAGACAGCGGCTGAAGCCAGAGAAATGTGGAAAGGGTGTGTTCACTTGTTCTTGTCTGTAGTTATTAGGAATAGTGGTGAGCGATATAGTGATTTTTTAGTAACAGCGTTATTTGTTACTGTAATTTTTAAATATCAGTTATTTTAAGTCGTGACGTGTCACGGTTTTAAATGACTTGCTCTACTGATACTGATATATCTAATAGGTTACAATAGGAAGAAGATCTATTACAGCCGCACGTCGTTACTTTTGTACACTAGTTATGTTCCATTTTGTTATGAAATATCCTTATGAATGAATTTAAGGAACTATTAAGAATATAATAATTAAGAAAATGAGATATATTGTTATTAAATGATTAATAATTTATTAAAATCATAATTTTATGTTTATCCTGCAGCACCATCTTTCGATTAATGATCGAACTTTCAATAATAAGTTGTTGGCCAATTTGAGAAATCTGTAAAATATTACCGAATATTCTAATGTTCGAATGATTGCGAATAACGAGAAGACAAAAACGAAAAAATCACAGTCACAGTTTGGTAACAACTTTAGTACAGGGGTGGGAAACTGGTATGCGCAGGCCTGGGATAGAGCAAAAATCAACCACGTCCGCGTGGCGCTGCAGTCGGGTGGTGGGGTAGGTGGTGGGAGTGTAAAGGACAGGTGAATATTGATTTTTGTGGGGGGTGTCATGGCGTCTTGGCTTAAACCAAACGTGAACTTTGTTTATTTATATTAGTGACTGTTGTATTCAGTTGTTTTCATTTCCAATTTGCTTAATTAATTTAGTTGACCACTGTTAATAAGCTTGTTTTTCCATTATAAATTTGTGCTTTTTCCGCTGTTATTTTGTGCTTTTTCATAAAGATGCGTAATTATAGAAAATGTTGTGTACCGAATTGCCTTGATGTAGACAACAAGATGCATCGCCTGCCCCACCCTACGAATTCACCCGATTTATTTAATATTTGTGCACTTGCTGTTCGTTGTCCAAGATTTAATAATAAAACAAGACTACAAATTTATTCCACCTTTGTAGTATGTCATAAACATTTTGAAGAGAAGTATAAAGTAGTTGGCTCTCGTCGAGGTCTAACACCTGAAGCATTTCCAACGCTATTCCTACTAACAGTTCCTGGAAGAGTAGCGGATGGACTTTCCTCAAATAACGTAGAAATTGAATATGTTGATCAAGCACCTTCTACTTCAAGTAAAGGTTCGAAGAAGAAGCAGACTAATAATATATGTTGGACTTCTTTTCGAGAAGGAAAGTTAGTAATATACTCATTTATTTTATACTTATACTGTGTATTTTCTGTTTCATGACATTTGGGGTTGCAAAGCTGTATCGTAGAAGAAGAAGCAGACTAAATATATGTTGGACTTCTTTTCGAGAAGGAAAGTTAGTACTCTACTCATTTATTTTATACTTATTGCTGTGTGTGAGAATCCACATCAGATGCATTTTTTACATCTCGAGCGTTTTTTTATCCACATACCTATATATAAATCGTTTATTTAGTCAAAAAAACTATTTTTTACATGTCAATACATCTTTACGTTTAAAATATAAAAAATACATAAATATAGAATCAATATACATTT